CCTCGGAGCCTGTCCTGCTCTCGCGCTTGACTGCTTTGCGAATGATGCTGGCGCGTTCAGGATGAGGAAGCTTGCACTTCCCACTCTGGTGCCCGGCGCAGAAGGCATTGTTAGCATAATCAGGGCACTCAACCACATGGCGCTTGGCACAATCGGGGCCCTTAGCGCAGAAGCCAAGCGTAGCGAAAGCACGGCAGACCAAAGCATTGGGAGAGACTTTGACGTGGGGATAGCGGCATGCAGTATTCGTGCAGTTGCCGCGAAGGAAATGATGGCAAGCGGACACGCGATGATAGCTCATCTCGTGGGACATGTCGCAGTTGTCGTCGAGGACACATGTGCCGGTTCGAAGGAAGTCCCTGCAGATGGCAACCTTTTCGGGATCGTGAGCGAAGTGGCATTGCGGGCCATATGCGCAAATACCTGTGACACAAGTCAGCTCTGCACGAAAGCACTTACCGGACTGCTGCGGTCGAGTCCATGGTAAATGGCCAGCGCGGTACGGATTGGACAGGTAACTACCATGTTTGGTGAAATTCTCGCACTGAGGCTTATTGGTGGAGATCCTATCACGCATCGAAAGTGAGTCACATCCAAACGCAGCCGTCAACAGAGACCGGTACCTTGAGGGTCTGATAGCACTCGCTCGGATCATGTTGCCGTTCTTCGTCCTGTGGAAGTCGACTCCAGCAATGGTTGTCTTCCTTGGTGTGTCTCCTTTGGTATTCAAGTCTGCGCCATTCAGCATCCTCTGTTCAGGTAGCACACTTTTTGACAGAGGCTTACCGCGCACACGCATGAGCTTGCTGCCATCGCTGGCGATGTTGAAACGCAAGCCGTTGATTAGTATCTCACGATTGGTGGTAGAGCCGGTGGAACCAAGATGGCTCAGTATCCTATGCTGGTCCTGAACATTCCGTTTCAATCTCTTCACCGCGCGCTGCTGTTCCTTCTGCTCTGTAGTATACTTCTGCTCCCGGAGGTACGTATCCGTGGTCATGAGCTGGTGGTTGGTGCCGCGACTGCTCACTAGCGTGACTGGCGCATCTTGCTCAGTCGGGGTCGGTGTGTTGGCGCTGTTGAGAACCAGCGTACGATGTCGGTGAGCCGATTGGTGACCTCCTCTTCCGCCTCTACCATATGGCGACCAACGGTTGTCTCCTCGGTAAGCATGCCTTGGCTGATGGTAGTTGTATTGCGCGGCCGGTAGTGGCGTGGGTTGGAAAAATGGATGGTGTTTGTGCTGAGTGATCTTGCCAGAAACCGCGGCAATTCTAGCCTGTAGCTCTGCATTGTCGGCCATGCTGTGTGGGTTAGTATTCACGGCGTACGATGAAGGCACAGGATGTTATGGTGTGGTTGTTGATGTCGTGAAGGATTGAAGAAAGAGGTACGTGATTGCGTGGTTGTTTCGCGGTGGTTAGTAATCACTTGGCATGGCACGTGCACTGAACTCAACTTCACGTCGCTCGTTCTTGCACTATCGCAGACCAACATCGACGCACGGCTTCAGATCAAGAGAAATCAAGTGGCGCAGATCACTACATGTCACTGCACACTTTGCTCGTTCGAGTGATGGAACCCACGAGTAAAGGAGAGGATTTCACGAGCATGTCTGCAAGCTTGCAAGCACGAGATACGTTTGGTGAGCTTATTATACTGTGTGGCGGAAAGAATGGGTCACGTTTGATGTTCAGCCGGAACTATAGTAGTACTGCAGTGAGGCTAAAACACAGAAGCTCCTGATTTCTGCCCGTCTGATAACAAAGCAGTATATCCTCTCCGAGGTTCGCCACTACTGTGCTGCCCACTCAGCAGCTCTCTACAAATGGTCGCAGCAGTAGAAAATGCCGTAGAACACAGTAGGGCCAATAGCGCAAGACCCGCCCTGCTCGTAGCAGTTGCCAAATTGGCCAGCTGATGTGGTGACTATAGTCGGCGCCCCATTCCCATCGCATTCGACGTTTGCACCGTCGGTCCAGCCAGCTATTGTGGAAGTCAGCAAAGAATGTGCTATGGTGAGTCGGGATTCTTCAGAGCAGCCAGCTTACCATCGCACCAGCCTTTACCTGACAACGACGAGACTCCAGCGATGACGCTGCAATCATTCGCGTACAATTCACCAGTAGTTTCCGAGCATGTCCCTGGACTATCGGGACTACGAGAGTTGTCAGTGCGAGCTCCCAGAGAGAAGCGACGGTGGGTTCATTTGATCGCACCTGCCAATACCTGATCGCGAGGAGTGGTGGTCAGCTGTAGTGTCTTATATCTGGCGGACTTGGGATGCTCACTGCAAATTTGACTAAGGCCAACAGCCACTGACCCTGCGTGGCAGTCGGTCGTGGATCGGGCGACCAGAGTGGTTGGGGCTGCGAAAGCGGTGCTGAACAGCGCAAAGGCCACAGCGACGAGTCTGGAATTGAACTGCATGTTGTTTGATCTGGTGATGTGGTTGTGAATAAGTCGATTGCGTGATGTTGGGATTGCTTGTGCAGAAGCCGCTGGAACTAGGAAGTGTGAAGAAGACCATCAAAGAGCAGACCATGGTCGCGGCTTTAGACCTGCGTTGGTGGCCATCCTCGCCATGGACCACCCACATGGTGCGCCGCGGATCAGCACACACATCGTCCAGCATGTCCACTATCCGGTACCATCTGCTGCCGTACGCCCGGTTGCGTGGTGTCCTGCCAGGTGCTCATTCGATGCAATACCCAAGGATTCGTGCGATCGGCGAGGGCGCACCGTCGCACTGGGTCGACCAGCTAGCGATATAGTCACGCGGTTTCACGTGCACTCCACGCTCGGCAAGTCCGACGGACTGATGTGGAGTGATGCTGGGGGCTAGCACGCTCTCCTTTCGGATCCTACAGCGGACCTGGTATGTTTCAGAACTGTTGCCTGCTAATGAGTGGCCGTCTCCTGGGGTCATGGAATACCGCCAGTCCAATGTTTGGATAGGTATGGATCAAAGCAAGGGCCTAATGCTTTCTGTTTGGCAGCGCGGCGAGGCGCCCGTCCGCAGACAAACTCTCGTTGCAGCATCTCTGCCGTCCGCATGCTCTTGGACATCGGGAGGCTCTAAGAGGACCACTTGATCCCACCCAATCCTAGTACACCCTTGTGAGTCGCTGCTTGCACGGCTGGTAGTGTCAGCAATTGTGAACACAAGAACGTGCGGCGACATATGCGGCTGGTAGTGTCGATGGTCTGCGTGACTCAGCGCATGGCAGATGGGAATTCGAACAGCCAAGCACGGCTCTGAAGGAAGTTGATGTTGCAGAGTCTTACTGCAAGTGGTGAGGATCAGCTAGCATCACAATGTGATCTACCTGGCAATATGCCGTTGTTCGTGGGACGTGGACGAAAAGGTCCTGATGGACAACATTGCGGCTCATCAAGAACCGCCATGGGGCATGCCCTATCGTCTTTTCGCATGCGGTAATCTCTGCCACGAGTCCAGGAGCGTGCGTATCTTTAATCAGGGGTTGCAACGTGGAAAAAGCTTCAGGCGTACAACAAAGCAAACATAAGCCTCGCTGATATTGCCTTCCTTACTAGCGCTACCCCATCATATTGAGCGGGATTAAACTTTTGGGTAGGCATTGAGGAGTGAACGACCCGTGCCACCGCAACACCTTGTGCGTCAGATCCACTCTCTTCTGTGCGGCTGCGAATGCCCTTCAAGGCCATGTCACGCCACCAGTTCAAATTCGGACTTCGGGGATCGTGACCGTGTCCGTCTAAAGCTTCACAGGTATCCTAGCAGTAGGCCTATGCGGCCTGGCCTTGTCATGTTGGCACGTAGCCAGCAGCTTGCCATCGCTCTCCCTTGTCATAACGCCCCTGATCGTGGCTATGTTCCGGGAGCTCTGTATAACCTCAGACTCGATCACGATCACCTCGCCCTCTTTTGGTGGCCTCAGGTAGGTGACATTCAAGTTCCGGCTGACACCAGACCAGCTGCCATCCCATATATTGTTGACACAGAGTAGAGCCATCGATGTGCATGAGTCAAACCAGTGTGCTATTGCTCCCCCATGAATTGTCGGATTCGCAGGATCGGGAGAGTTTACAAAGGTCGGCGGAATGACCAGACGGAAAACCGCCTTTGCGCTCTCGCAGTCGGTTTCAAGTGTCGCTGAGGTGCATACACAAGCTTTGTAGAAGGCTTGGTCGAAGTTGTTTTGCGGTATGGCTGCTGCGTAGCCGCGGACGAACTTGCTGACGAGGTCGCAAGCTTCATCGTTCGTCTTCGGCCGAGGGAATGCCGCCATGATGGTCTGCAAGTAGTGATTAAACGACAGTAGATTGTGAGTCTGAGGATGTCGCGACAAAAGTATTCAGGAGAGATATATGGGGAAGGATTCCGATAAGCTTACTCAACATGGGCTGTATATGTGATCCGTCCAGGGCTGACTATAGCACTGTGCGCTGGGAGAAGGCCCAGGAAGGAAACCGAGAAGAAGTGATAGAAAGATCCAACCTGTGGCTCGGCGGGTTGTCGTTGTGCCTCGGATACATTAGGAAGGAGGTCGAAATGGCCCCGGCAATGCATGCCAAGCCCGCAACCTCACTTCACTCTCTTGACCTCGATCCTTCTTTCCCTCAACAATGCTACATGATAAAGTACAAACCCTGCACGCATCGTCCAACTTCTCATATCTTGACAATCTAGCGTACACCTGGCATCGTTGCTTCTGTACTCAATCCCCACCGATCTTGGTCGACCTCGTCTCACAATCTCCCCAACAAGCACGATTCCTCCTGCAAATCCGGAGAACAAAAGAGCATACTCAATGCATTACTAGTCACGATGCATTACTAGTCACAAAACACGGGCCAGCGCATAGTCCTTGTACGAGACAAGTGAAGCTACAACACGAGGATAAAAGTCTCGAACAGCGATGAACCCAGCTTTCTACACCTGGCATGTCCGAGGATTTGCCGAAAGACTATATATTGACATAATTACACTGATCACTTTATCAAATCAAGCAAATGGTAGTGTGGTGCAGTGGTAGCATTTCTGCTTACGTCGTCTGCCATCACCTGTAAGAGCTACGATAAAAGTTGAAGACCGAGGTTCAATTCTTCGCACAACCAGAACCCAGTTATGGGAACAATCTTTTTGCCATTGGCTGTCTTCACAGACAGAACCCGAAAGGTCAAAGTGAAGAGGCTGTTCTTGTTTTGCCGCATACGACACTGATATTCACGAGCTACCATGCAGTGCAGTGGCTTGTGCAGACTTGGAAGCGTGGAGATTGCTACATTTGAACGCTCTCGAGAGCCTGTAGCATTTCAAATCGATGAACGGCAATCTTACTGGTAGGTGACGAACATAACGACCAATATCGACTGAGCTCGCATACCAAGGCTTAATATCTGATAAGACAACACCACAGCTAGACTGACTTCATCTTCGTTGCTTTGCCAATGAAATCTCACCCTACGGCTTGACTCTTGCTACTAATCAGCATTGGTACGTACCTCTGACGTCCACGCATAATCCCGCTTCAAACCCTCAACCATGCGCAACGCCATTTCGCTCGTCCATTGTCTGACCTGTAGAGGCACCCCCACAATACTGCACATATGCGCCGAACTCGTCCGCTTCGTCTGCTCCTACTCGTCCTGGCTCATATGATGCGGGCAAGATGGTACTTTCGTCTCGTGTCTGATGTTTGACGCACCTTCTGGAGATCTCGCCGGATTGTTTGCAGTTTTGCGGCTTGCGGCGTCGGTCTGGAGACGGTGGATGGTATCCAGGACCTCGCAGTTCACGGGCACATGTATAGGAAGGTAGGTCTTTACACGTTCGTGGTTCCGGCCGACCTTTCATGTCTTTGGTGGCGATGAGATGCTGGTAGGGGAAGGCGAGGATGACACTTTCCAGGACTGGGTGGGCGGGTGTGAATTAAATGGCAGGGTCAGCGGATGTCTAAGAAGTTGAACCACCTGGCTGCGAGACGACTCTCTTCTGTGACACCAAGATGACAAGCTGAGACCAATGGCGGAACCTCGTAGCCATTCGGCGGTCTCGAGATGGCCCGAAGACCCTTCGCTTTACTTACATCGCCTTTGTAGCTGAACGTTCCCAGCATCTCTGTATCTTCGAACGCATGTTTCTCATCCGTGAGCGCCACAAAAATTTCTATAATAATTAGAAACTCCATAACAATGTTTCAACTTACTCCCATGCTAGCGTGAGCTACTAAAACAGCCACATGTGCCTGTTCGGCCACTGCGTATGACTGTGACTTAGCGTAAGCTATCACAAGCGCCGCGTTTATCCGTTCGACCTCTGCAAATGACTGTCTACCGGATGGACCGATGGAAGAAGATCAAGAAAGCGGTACGTCGGGTGATGGCCTTGCACGGCCGGCTGTCCGCCCCGGCAGGGTTCTTGCTGTTAGAAATGAACTGGAAATTGTCCTCTGCAGTCTCAGGGTCAGGGTGGGTGGTCCACAAGCATTTGACCAGGCGGCATGAAATCTCCGACTCGTTTGCCAAGACTCGTAGGTCCATAGAGCATCTCACCTGAACTACAGTAAGGGCGGCGTCGGGTGTGTGGTTAGATCCACGTCGTTCACTCAGCGGTCGAATAAAGCTATGCGGATGTAGCGAGAGGAATGCTGATGTCTGAAGGGACGGATCATGCCATGGTGAGTACAGTATTTCGCCCGAGCGTACGTACCAATCTCGGCCGATGGGACAGCGTTCACTGGTGGCAGCATATCCGGTACTGACGCGAGGTGTGGCACGTAGCTCGGAGAAACTGGCGTCTCGGGGCGTGGCAGAGCGACTTGAGCACAGTACCGCTATGCTGCCGACCGGAGCTTCAGCTTTGTTGACGCACTGCAGGTCCATATCGTCTACCCTGCGGTCATGTGGGATAGGTACGTTCCGAACTTCTTCTATGGTGGCGTGGGTATGGAACGATTGCTTAGCTCGGCATGACGAACCAAGATTTCGTCGCTATCGATGTGTTCTCGGTCCATCGCGTAGTCCATCGCAGATAGACGTGTTCTGCGTGTACGGCCTCTTGTTAGCTAGGATACAAAAGGACGCTAATCAAATACGCTTGTGCCAATGCCAGTGCCATATGTTTCGGAATGCTTACAAGACCTGCGCATTCCAGAGATAATACCAGCTAAAGTAGCGTGTGCAAGCATATCTGCGCTGCCAAATGTGGCTTGTGCTGGTGCATCGCCGTTCGTATTCCTCAGCTCCTCGTGCTCACGACGAGACACTCACGATTCGGGTCCTCTATTGCGCTCTGCAAAAACTAAGTTAAGCGAAAGAATGGTTACCGTGAATCCTTGGCCTGGATGTATCTGTGGTTCCTCTGGACCCTGGAGATGAGCTCAATGGTGATTTCGAACGTGTAGAGATGTGCAGTGATATAGCGTAAACGATTAGTTGCAGGAGTGTCAACGCCAAATACCGTGAACGCAGGTACCGCCAAAGCGGAATTCAAAAGAACATGAATCCACAGCCCACCGCATACCCGCGAGATCAACAAAAAGTAATTGATTTTGGATGCGACTGGACTCGAACCAATATCTCTGTGCGAAGCGAGAGATGGATCACACAAGCGAATGAAGTGACCCATCGCACAGAATCATACCATTAGACCACGCTTCCCAATAACATAAATCTGCTGTGCTCATGAGCTATTATATAGAGCGAGATGTACTAGCCGCTGTTACGCCGACCTTGCTGGTCCTGGTTCTGGATGGTAAGCGCCGCGTGGTTGTAGGATGGAAAGGTAAGCAGCTTGGCGCACGCAGAATCCGAAGACTGCAAGATTCCGCAGCACACCGGCAAGACCGCGACACCAGCAAAAACATTGCGATTTGGTCGCGATTGGATTCGAACCAATATCTCTGTGCGAAGCGTTATACTGCTCTCGATGGTGCAAGGATATCAGTTGCCCAGCGTCAAATTCATCAGCCATAACATCGCAAAAACAGGTAAAGCACCAAAAGAAATTACTTACACGGAATATCGAAATCCGCAAAAAGAGCAACTTTGACTATGGCTTCACTCCTCACTCTTGAGGCTCGACCGGCGTCTGTTGACTGTAGCTTCACTCCTCACTCTTGAGGCTCGGCTGGCGTCTCGACTGTAGCTTCACTCCCCGCTCCCGGGGCTCGGCTGGCGTCGTGTGTTGCAACAAATTTCACCCGACTTTTTTCACAAATATATACCCTTACGGCAGATCCTCGGAGTTGGACATATTTTCGCCTTTTGCCCATATGCCCGGTTGATGAAGTTGATGAACCCGTACAGAATAGTAGGTCCTTGTCGCGTGAATGGCTGCTGCGAATCTTCCTGCGTCTTCCCGGCTTCGTCGTGCTCTTCAATCGTCAAAAATGCACAAAAAGCAACTTGACTGTAGACCTCACTCCCCACTCTCGGGGCTCGGCCAGGCGTCTTCGGTGACTGCAGATCTCACTCCTCACTCTCGAGGCTCAATCGGGCGTCGGCGACTATAGACCTCACTCCTCACTCTCGAGGCTCGGCCAGGCGTCGCGTTGCAGTAAATTGTTACCAATCTACTGCAACTGTTGCGATAATTTCCCTTGGATTTTGACATATATAAAGCCATGCGGTGGATCCTCGGGGTTGACATGTGATTGTGTAGGAAGTTGAGATTCGTTTTTCGCGGTCTGTCTGACACGCTACGCAGTGTGTGCTATGATGCGACGCACATTGGACCGGCCTTGCCAGCTGTGTAGTCGCCGTCGCAAGTCTCGATGGTATACCTCCCTGCTGCAGTTTTCAATCTTTCTTTGCGGACCAGTAAGGGGATAGGTAAGCAGGCTCCATAATGCGGGTAAGCAGATACTCAGGTCGAGAGAGGCGAGGAAAGCGATGCGAGTCCAGATATGGGCAAGAAAGTGCGATATCACAGCGTGTACTAGCCGCAAGGTAGTTGCAGTACAATGTATCTTGTTCGCAATGCATGTCGATGTCGACGTGAAGTCGGCACCTGCACGGTTGCCAAGACATCTCGGCCCGAGGTTTACTCCGCAGAGCCGCCTTGGGCGCGTTGATCAGCCGCCATCGCTGCACTTCGACGAGTGACGGTGACGGTGCTTCGTGACTGTACCATAGCGGCAGCAGGGCATGCGTATTGATCCCTTCACTTCACCCTCGTTCCGACGCAAACTCACATTCACGACACATTCCTCACATCTTAGCGCTTCTGCCTGGTTCCGCATGCGGCTTCGGGTGAACTTGGTTGCTCCAACTCAACCTCACGACTCATCATCACCTTCTCCTCCAAACTCTAGTGCACCGAACTGATACAGCCTCGCCAATTCTCTCAACCACTACTTAAACCCATACCAACGCTCGCTCGTAGCCAGCCACAACCCACTCGCTTATCAACCCACCAACCACACCTCACCAGCGTACTCAGCACAACCAAATACAGCCATGGCGGAGAAGATACTGATGAACGAGTACAAAGCCCTCTCAAAAGAAACCTGGACGCACATCTCCCTCATCAACGACAACATCTTCGAGTGGAACGCTGCCCTCATCGTGCTCAACCCGGACTCAGCCTACTACGGCGGCTACTTCCAAGCCAAACTCACATTCCCTCGCAACTACCCTTACGAGCCGCCGGATTTCCGCTTCACTCGGCCGCTGTGGCACCCAAATGTCTACCCTGATGGTAGGCTGTGTATCAGTATCCTTCACCAGCCGGGTGAGGATATGATGAGTGGAGAGCTTGCAGGCGAGAGGTGGAGTCCGGTGCAGAGGGTGGAGAGTGTGCTTATTAGTGTGCTGAGCTTGCTGGATGATGCGGAGGTCAGCAGTCCGGCGAATGTGGATGCTGGGGTGATGTTGAGGAAGGATCCGGAGGCGTATAAGCAGAAGGTGTTGCTGGATAAGGAGGTGAGTAAGCAGGATATTCCTGAGGGTTTCGAGATGCCCACGCACGAGACGGCGTTCAGGAAGGAGGAGAAGGTGGATACGTTCAGTTGGTCGGACAGCGAGGCAGAGGACGACTTCGGAAGTGACAGCGACGAGGATATGTTCGATGGAGACGACAACACGGATGGTGATGATGGGGAGGCGGAGGAGGA